AGCTATTGCCCTATTGCTGGGGTGGGGAACCTACGGCCCAGGGGCCGGAGCTGCATGTGCATGGCTGCAGTGCTGGGACCACGTATGTAGGGGGACCGGTCCCTATCCTGCCATAGAGACCCTGCCTTTATGGGCATATTGCTCTGGCCCAGCGGGGGAGAACCGCACCGGTCCTCTATGCTCATCCCAGTCCTTAACGACAGCACTTCCCTGGGAGATCGATTCCTATGCTCAGAGGCACTGGCCTCAGGACCCTCTCGTGGGAGCTTTCCGCAATGGGCAGTTTCCACTTTGAGTCTTGTGCTGCCCGGGAGAGAGCCGGGGCTCAGAGACCGACCCTGTGGGTGTGGAAATATTTCACGCCCCCCTCCAGCCTCACGGCCAACCCCGGGTCGCAGCAGCGTGCAGGCCGCTTGTGCGAGAGGCCCGAGCCTTTCTGCAGCAGGCGTCTCCCGGGATGGGGTCAACCTTCCCCGTTGCTAATAAACCACCCGCCAGGAGGCAACAGGCCAGCAGGAGGCAAGGAAGAAAGGGCACGGCCAAGCACTTTCCTCCCTCTCCCCGGCTTGCAACCCAGCCCCTGGGGAAGGGCGAGAGGCTCCAGCCTCCCCCCTGCGCCCTCCCTGTCTGGTGCCATGGCTGGAGAAAGTGGCTCCCGCCGCTTACACCAGAGGGCGCGTTCACACCATTAGCTCCAAGCCAGCGCCAGAGCTGCTGCTGCCTGAAGAGCCCAGGCCCTGCCGTCTCCTCAGCTGAGCTATTTCGCTCCACTTCTGTGGTGCCGGCTGCGGGTATCCCCCCCGGGGAAGCAGCCGTAAGAACAGCAGAGGCGTAATACCGCAATCGGTGAAAACAAGATTGGTGTAGCCAGTGGCAACTAGCGCCTGCGGGTGGAGAGAGGGCTGCCCCGAGGGGCAGGGAGGGGACAAGTGGGGGCACCCCATTGACAATTAAAAGTTTGGCAGGGGCTTAGGGGGGGCTGTGCACCTCCCACCTGTCTCATACGGGTGTAGCTCCAATGTGCGTTTCTCACACAGGGGGGCTGATTTTGCCCAGCCCTGGGCAAGGTGGGAGGAGGTAGCTCTGGGTAGAAGGAGCAGGAGCAGGAGCAGGAGCAGGAGCAGGAGCAGGGAGCTGTCTGGCCTGCTGGCTGCACGGACAGTCCATGGTGCATGTGGCCTAGAGCTCTGGGGGTGGCTGTTGCCACGGTAGCAATGGCTGGACCCCAGGGCACCTGCCCTCTTTGCCCCGCCAGGCCCTGGAGCAGCTGCCTCCTTCCCCCCTCGTGAGCGGGCCCCCAGACGTTAGCTCGAGAGAAGGGCTCACCTCCCCCGCCTTGCCTAGGTGATATGGAGGCAGTGAGCAAATGCCTCCTCTCCAGCCTCTATTTCCGTTTGTAAATTCTGCTTTTCTTCTTGCAGAACAGCTTCATGCTCTCTCCTTCCCCCGGCCGGGCTCCCCCACTCAGCTGCCCCGGCCACAGGTGCACTGGTTGTCACCCCAGGCCTGCGTATCTGAGCAGGGGAAACTGAGGCAGGGGGCAGTAATGCCCAAACGGACGAGGGGGCAGCCCTGTAAGCTGGAGGACATTAGGGTGGAAGGGCTGGCGGTCTCTGGGGCAGTGGTCCTTACAGAATAAGCCTCAAATTCAAATAGCTGCTCTGGGGCAGTGGGTTTCAAAACAACAGGTCGCAGCCCGGTACTGGGCCCTGGAATGTCAGGCGCTGGGGCTTCTGGGTGGAGGGGGGGCAGGTGAGCAGTGGGGGGGCTAAGGAAGCTACCAGCCTGTCCTGGCACCGCAGACTGCACGGCTGGGGAGAGAGCGCGCACGGCTGGGGAAAGAGCGCGCACGGCTCCCCACACTGCCGCTGCCCCGAGCACTAGCCCTGCACTCCCATGGGCTGGGAACCTGCTGCCGGCTGCTTCTAGGACGCAGCAGGGTCTGCGGTGCCAGGAGAGGCAGGAAGCTGCCTTAGCTCCTCCGCTGCCCGGGTGCTGCTCGAGGTCAGCCCCTCCTGCCCCAGCTCTGACCCCCCCCAAACTGGAGTCCCCTCTTCCACTCCAAAGCTCAGCCCCAGTCCAGTCAAATTATCTTGGGTCATGAGAATGGACAATTTTCTTCATCCGGGTCATGAGAAAAAAAAAAGTTTGAACCCCGCTGCTCCAGCAGTGCTGGCTGGGAAGGAGGAACGCAGCCGCCGAGGAGTAAGGCCTGACAATTCCATCAGCGCGTGTGTTCCCCCACGCAGAGCGCAAGGAAAAAACGGTTAAGGAGAGTCCTGCAGCCACAGCAACGGACGCACCAACTGCTCAGACCGACATCGGTTAGGGGACACTGTGACATCACAAGGAGACACGACTTCATTGTTGTCCTAGCACTCGCTGGTTTCCAGAGTTGAGCTCAGAAGCCATGGAGGGCAGCTAAGCCCCCACACCCACGGGCCAGCTGCTTAGGGCATCACGGGTGGGGGTTGCTCGGTGCAGAGAACACCCACAGCAGGATCTCGGCGTCTGGAAGTCCGGCGTGTAAGCCTCGTTTGGTGAGCTCTAGGGATTCACGTGGGGCTCGGGAGGAAGCGCACAATGTCCCAGTAGACGGAGCCTCTCCCTCCGCTTGGCCTGAAATAAGCCATTCCCTCACGGACAGAGACTGCATGGGCGGAACGTGGCGGTTCGAGCAAGGGGCCTCCTTACCCTGCGCCAAGTGAAGAGGAACTTTCCTCCCCCCCTTCCCGGGTCAGGGGCATAGATTGCTCCCCGCCCCACAGGATGTCAGGCTGGCAGGAGTACGTCAGCAGCTCGATGAGAGACGGGTTGTGCTGCGATGCAGCGGTGATCTCCGTGGCTCACCAGCAGCTGCTGGCGGCCCACCCCGGCGGGGTTCTGGCAAACGTGAGCCAGCAGGAGATCCAAGCCCTCCTGGGCCGGAACAGAGATGCCCTGCTCACCAGGGGAGCCACGCTGGGCGGGCTCAGGTGTCTGGTGATCCGGGACAATCTCTATGCAGACGACACCCACAATTACACCATGGACCTCCGGACCAAACAGCAGGAGAACAGTGACGCCTACACCCATGCTGTCACAGTCGCCCTGGCCAGCCCCGTGTGCCTCATTCTTGTGGGCAAGAAGGGGATCCAGGGAGGGACGCTGAACATGAAGGCCTTCAAGATGGCGCGTTACATCAAGAGCAGACTGCACCAATAAAGACAAACCCTGAGCGACCTCCAACCCTGGCCCTGCGTTCCTCTTTTCCCCGGTACCTGCAGAGTACCACATCGCCACTCGGGTCTAATGCTGCCCTTAGAGCACCCTGTTACCGCTAGAGGTGGGAGCATTCTACGGCCGCTCTGGCCCAATGGAACATTTGATCTATGGGGCAACGCTCCAGGGCTGTGTCTACACTGGCAAGTTATTCCAGAAAATCAGCCGCTTTTCCGGAAAAACTATGCTGCTCCCGTTCGGGCAAAAGTTTTTTTTCCGGAAAACTGTTCCGGAAAAGGGCCACTGTAGACAGCACAGTAGTTTTCCGCAAAAAAACCCCAATCGCAAAAATGGCAATCGGGGCTTTTTTGCGGAAAAGCACGTCTAGATTGGCCACAGACGCTTTTCTGCAAGAAGTGCTTTTCCGGAAAAGCGTCCTGCCAATCTAGACGCGCTTTTCCAAAAATGCTTTTAACAGAAAACTTCTCCGTTAAAAGCATTTCCGGAAAATCATGCCAGTGTAGACGTAAGCCCAAGTGTATTTGGCCAAATCCATCTGCTTGGCAAAGCAACAGCCAATTGGCCAATAAAAAGGGAGGGGGAACATACAGCACACTAAAGATCTGAGAGCCCGGACCCCCCTCCAAGAGGGTTTGCTTTTGGCTCCATGCTCTTCCAATATCCTCACAAAGGACAAAGCAATAGCTAGTCGCTAGACGGCCACGACTCTTATATTTTGACATGTAAGAGACACGAGTTGCCAGCACAGACGGTACCCACCTTCAGAGGATTAAGAGCCTTTTTGTAAAGATCCGCAACAACTAGGCTTTTCTAATAACAAAGACCTTCCTGGCCACTGAGTTAGGCAGAGCAGTTCTCAGGGACCGGCGCCTGACCCCAAGATCTCCCTGACACCGTTGGCAAGCTGGGTCACCGAAAGGTTGTGCTACACCCGTGTTTCTCAAAGCCATAACTGTACGGGGGGGTTGCATCTGAAGCCAGCCAAACTGCTAGAGGCAAATTGGGCTTACCAAGACCGGCCCTTTCCACTTTATTTTACCCTCCTTTGAGGCAAGGGACATAAAACCGTGGAACCCAACCCAAAGAACAACAGTGATGGGCAACCTGGCCATCAGCCTTAGCCATCGCAGCTAGACATCCCTCTCACGCCCTTGCCTGCCGCAGTGTGCAGACCCAGATTTCAGTGCTAATAAAGCAGATTATCTGGACGAGTGAGATGTTGCTACTGCCTCCTGAACAGCAGAGTGGGAGGTTTGATGGTAATGTCAGATAACGCCTGGAGATTTCACAAGGTTTCTATCAAAATTGCAGCAGCCCCAGGAGGGGCGGTTGGTTTTAACTGGTGTGAATATTTACTGAATGACTCTCCTAGAGAGGTATCGGTAGATGTTCCACAAGGGTTAGGGACGGAGCAGACGAGGGTACCAAACCCTTCCCACACAGCAGGTTTGGAGGGCAGGGTGGAGAAGAAACGAACCCCACAGACACTGCCCAGAATCAGTCTCAGTTGACCCAACTTGTGACAATTTGTCAGACCGAGGGTAGGCAAAAAAGATGCTTCTGAGGGAAGGTGCAATGGTGCAGGGAGCTAGGAGGGCAAAAGGTGACCTCGAGGATGCCAAGATGTAGTAAACTGCAGGAAGGACAGGCAGATTCCCAAACGCTGGGGGAGGGGAAGGGAGCAGTGAGTTTCAGGGCGAGAGCGCACACAAGACGCTAAGTACAGAGAGGATGCTCTGCAGCCAGCCAGGAATAAACTGTAGCCCACACACATCCCACATGGGCACTCAGAAGCAGTTTTATTCCACTTAGATTGCCACACAAAACGCTGCTGGTAGAGTCCAGCCCCCTTCCCGCCACACTGCGGGGAGGGCAGCTCTCTCCGGCTCTCCCACCGCGTCAAGCGCAGAGGTCTTCTGAGAGCGACCGCCCCAGTGGGAATCCGCTGCCTCAGCGCAAGCAGCCGGGGAGGTCAATGGCTCTCGTCAGCTGCTCACACCAACGGGCGAGGAATTCGGGGCGGCTGAAGTCTCAGCGGAAGAGGTGGAACGAAGTAGTTTCTGTGGAGTCCTCCAGAACCTAGCGGCCATTGTACACAAGTGGACTTGGCCTATTCCTCCACAGCCTCAATAATACAATGAACGCACTGGGCCCATCAGCAACCAGCCAGATTTTGGGATTGGGAGAAACAGGGGCCGGGAGGAGCTTGAAGGGCACTGACTGGATTTGGGACCTAGGCCACATTTTAATGTTTGACTCCTCTCAACAGCATGACGAGCCGTGGGTGAAGTTAATGGCACATTCTCCAATGGTTCCCCAGCAGGGCGGGCTGGAAAATTGAAACAGGCCCATCCCACTTAGGAGTTCAAAGTGACTTTGGCAAACAGGGCTCCTCCCCTTCACGCCTTGGTGCGGAGAGATTCACCCACAAGGCCGAATCGCACCCTGCCCGGCACAGGGCCTAGCCTTTTAAAGGGACACAAGCAAGGACGCGAGGCAGTGCGTCTCTCTGGGGGGCAGTGAAAGCAAGGCACCGAATGGCTGCACAGAACAGAATTGCCTCGGGGCACGTCTACACTGCAAAGAAAAACCCGGGGCTGGCCCGGGCCAGCTGGCTCCAGCTGTTTGGCATCAGCGTAGATTTGCAGGCTCAGGCCGAAGCCCGGCCTCCGGGACCTTGACAGCGGGTCTCGGCAGAGCTGCGCCGCAATTCAACACCCCCTACGTGGGAGCCGGAGCCAGCTAGCATGGGCCTGCTGCGTCTGACTGCAGCCTAGGGAGAGAGGCAGGATTCCAGCCTGGGCGTGGGGACAGGCAGGGCCGAGAGCGGGCAGGAACAGCTCCCTTGGTAGCTCAGCCCAAAGGGGAAACACTGGCGAAAGCGTAACTGTCCCCAGGCTGGGCCGTGGGCTTGGCTCGTGGGCTCTCCCCAGCAGGGCGTGGGAGGGTGGCAGAGGCAGCTCACTCAATGGCAGGGACGTTGCTTGAGGGGCTTTGTCACAGGCGCTGGCTGGGTGAGGGGACTCGGGCAGGGCAAGGCAGTGGATATGGGAAGACACTGCAAGCTCATACACAGCCCAGAGGGCTGAAGGGAAGCCCCCCACGGGCAGGCTACGCCGCACCCACCCGAACCCCGATTGTCTCAGATCCGCAGCTAGGCCCCCAGGCAGAGGAGAAGTTACTCGGGCTTTGCTACATGCACAGGGTGGGAAGAGTTCATCTACACACGGAATAGACATGTGCAGGCTTGTGCCAGGCGGGACAGGAACGCACCTGTCCCCTGTAATTATAGCTACCGCTGGAGGGGAGGAGCCCTCCTCATGCCTCTTGCTCAGAGCTCAGCCAGCAAAGAACCCGGAGAAGAGGCCTCTCCGTGCCAGATGCCCGTGGGCGATGTAGCAGCACAGAGGGCATCGCACGGCCACGGGCAAGCCTCCTGGGGGACGCGCCTGCTTCCCGCAGCCAGAACGGCGCCGGAGCTGCGCTGGGGGTCCTGGGCGGGTGGGAGGAGCAGCCCAGCTGGGAGATTCCGAGTCGCTGCTGCTTGTCCTGAACCTTCACAAAGGAGAGGAGAAAGCCAGAGAACTCCCCCCTGCCCCCGCACTTCTCGCCTATCGATGCTTGTGCTCCAGCAGGGACTCGAAGTCTGGGGAACACACTAGTTTGTGCTTGACGTGCCCCAGGACGATCATCTCGCCAGTCCTGCTGTCGCCGATGCCCACGGATACCAGCTCCTTTCAACAAGACGGGAGACACCATTACACACAGCGAGAGCCGTCCCTGTAGACAGGCCTGTCCACGAGTAACTAGTGCCCGTCCCCTGGGATTCTGGGCTCAGGAAAACACATCTTCACGACTCCTTGAGAGCACAACGCTCTAGCGTCATGCCCGGGCCCTCAGTCATCGCAGGAGCGAGTCATGCTCCCATCAAGCACCCATTTTCAGTGCTCTGTCGTGGGGGGAGGGGGGCAGGGGAGCGGTTCCTGCCCAGCTGGGAGAGCCAAACCCAGTAGATCATCTGCCTGGGCACCTAGATCCCCTGTGTGCTGGTTACAGACCCAGCTAGTAGGTGACTGGAGGAGGCAAAATCCTTGCTCAACTGCAGGCTCCCCACCCCACCTCCTTGCAAAGCAAGTGAGCTGAACTTCACTCCTCCAGCCCCCGTCTCTAAGATCAATTCCCCCACTGCCAGTGCTGGGGAGTAGATGCAACACACCCTCATGTCATGGGGCCTCCTTCTGGCCCCCAATAAGACAGCAGCAGCAGCTCTTCTCATTCCCCGCAGGGCACAGCAAGCGGATGGCTTGGGGAAATGAGATGTAACATCCCTAGTACCTACATTTAGTTTAATCAACTAGTCGATAAACAGTTCCCAGCTGCAGTTCCCAGCCTGGGAGCTAACCCTGCTGCGGCTCTGCCTTTAAAATGCATAAAATACATTTAAGGGGCTGGTGCCCAGCAGGAGGGACCCGGCGTGAGCCTGCCGGCTCTTAATACATTTAAGGGGCTGGTGCGCAGCAGGAAGGACCCAGCACGAGCCGAGAATCAGCTGTCCCAGCTCGCACTGGGTCCCCCCCCCCCGGCTACGCTCCTAATTTTTAAATGTATTTATTGAGAGCCTGCTGGCTCTTAATACATTTCAAAAGCAGAGGGGCAGCGTCTGGGGCTGGGCGCGAGCCGGGAATCCGCTGATTGCTGGCTTGCGCCCAGTCCCCGCGACCTTCCCCTGCACCGTCTTTGTGGAACCGGCTTTTAAGCTAGCTCCTCCCCGTACCGGCTCCTGCTCCTCCCCCTGCTGCCTCCAATAGAGGCAGCAAGGGGCCGGGGGGGGAAGGACTAGTCGACTAGTCGCTTACATCCCCAGTAGCTACAGAACCTTGCACCTCTGGGGCACTGGCTGAAGTCAGGCCCAGGTGGAGAGCGGAGGAAAGGCGCTGCTACCCGGGGGCTGCTGAGGGGAGCCTCAGGCTAATCCCTAGCAGCTAGGGCTCCAGACGATGGTGTTCAGGTGCCATGGAGACAGGCATCGCGGGTCACAGAATCTGCTACGACAGCTACTCTCACTAGCCATCTTAGTCAAGAGACCCCAGACTGAATGGGCCCCGGACAGGGAATGCTCCTCCCAACCACAGAGGGGCCCCTTCAGGCCAGGTCAGCCCTGAAACACAAGGCACAGGGCTGCAAATGCACAGCGGCAGTGGAGGAAGCATTCCCCAGGCTGGCAACGCGTCGCCCTGCCCGCCGGCCGCTGAGCGAGCGGTTACCTGCAGAAAGGAGCAGGGCGTCCCCATGGTCACGTCCAGAGTCACTCTGCCCAGCGCCAGCTGCACCCTCCCCGATTTGCGGATCAGCAGCTTCCCCACCTGCCCTTCCGGCAGGTCCGCCAGGGTGCAGATGTGATCAGCCTGCTTGCCCTCCTGTGGAGAGACATGGGCGGGGTTCGCGTGGTCCAGCACCTTGGCCCCGGGCTCTTCTCCAGCCAGGAGCTGGGACGCACGTGTGCCCCCCTGCATAGAGTCTCTCCGGAGAGGAGCAAAAGAGCCCGCAGGACGTGCCGCCTCCTCCATGCAGCAAGGCTCACGTGCGCCGTGTCACTGGGGAGACGCTAGCTGCCTCTTTCAGGATTTGGTGCCAGCTCCAGCAGGGTCTACCACCCCCGAGCCTTGTGAGGCTGCAAGCGGATCTGCCACCTGGCCCGAACTGCCAGGATGCCACAGGCCAACAGACTGGGCTCCTGGCCTGGGGGAAGTGGGAATGATCACGAGCCAACACACGGACAGAGCTGCCTGCACACGTGGCACCAATGAAATCCTGGGGGTTTTCTGGGTGTGTGTGAAGGACTCAGGGAAGGGGTTTGGGGAGCACTGTTCAAATTGCCTCTGGGCCCCCATCCCACCCCAGAGATGTCACTGCAGGACACAGCCAGCTCCCCAGAAACGCCAACACAAGGGACGAAGTCTGTGGTGTTGCTCCTCCTCCTCCCGTTGCACATGCACACCAGGGAGCTGCCGTCGGACAGGGCTCGGCTCTTTGCTAGGTTTTACCCACAATCCCAAGCCTCGTGCTTCTCTAGCGCCCAGCCCCAACCGGTGCATATAGCTCCCCCGATGTGCAGCAAACTGCCCTTTGCTGCAACATCCATCTCATTCCCCTCCCTACAGGGCCTCCTACCTGGCTCTTCTCCTGCATCACCACCATCAGCTGCCCCTCCTCGTTCTGCACCTCTGTTTTGATGGGTTTGGTGTCCTGCGTGAGCGGCTGCCCGGGGAGCGTGTCCGGCAGCTGCAAAAAGACCAGCTCCTCCTCCTTGCTCAGGCTGAGCTGCTGCAGCATCTCTGCCACGGAGATCTCTTGGGGGTAGCTGGGAGGTGCCTTTGCCGGAGCTGGCTTGGTGACCGCCGGCGGCTGCTCCGAGTCCTCCTCGTCGCGGGGCTCCTCTTTCACTAAGAGCAGAGACAAGGTTGCAGGCTCCCCGTGCAGGGCGATCACCACTGCCCCGCAACCCAACCGGCCCACGCGCCGGGAGTGTCTGCGTCACTGTGCGGGGGCTGTAGCCACTGCAGCAGGGCAGCCGGGGGTGCAGGAAGAAAGCTGGGCTCTAGCACCCTCGCCTCCTGCTGGAGTTGGTGGGAATCGAGGTTCTCAGCACCGTGCAGACCTGGACCTCAGTGACTGGGAGGGTAACGTCACACCCAGTGAAAGCTGGGGCTACCCTGGAATCAACCCTTGATTCCGGGGGGACGGGGAGGAGGTGTCTCCGTCTTCTCAAGGGCTGGAGACAAGAACTATCGTGGGTCAGAGCTAACTACACTGTACCTTTTGGGCTGCTGTCAATGGTCCAGCATACTAACTGGTCATGGTCACATCCCCATGGGGTTTCCCTCCATCCCATGCAACTTCTGGACCTCACTTCTCTTCCAGTAAGGGAAGCCCTGATGTGCCTCTGCTCCCTACAATGGGGTAAGGAGCTAGAAATGGAAGGGTCAGAGCAAACATACTAGACCTGCCAAGGAGGTCTCCTCCTGGCCAAGAGCCAGTAACCTCAGCTGTAATGCTTGGACTTTGGGAGTTCACTGCCACCAACCAGCTCCGGGTTCCCCTACTCAGGCATCCAAGCTGCGAGGCTGCAACTAGGACTGGTGAAAGCTCAGCCCTGGGACGTATCCCCCTTGGGATCGCAGCAGAGTCCGACCACGATGGGTTCGGAGCTGACACCTTTCACTGCAGGCAAATCCACTTCCATCTTCTCTTCCTTGATGTCGGTGCTGGAGACCCAGGGCTTGATGTCTTCCTGGTCATCCCCCTCTTCCTTGAACAGCCAGCCCGAGTGGGCCAGCGGCAGCTGAACCGGCTTGTTCC